ATAGTGCTAAATCAAACACAAAATTGTATCATTCTGGTTGATGAATCACACTGTCAGTTGAACCAGGCAATGGGTGGGGGCGGGGCTATTTTTTAAATTTCTATTTCTGTGATAAAATATCCCCACAGAAAAACAACTTAAGGAAAAAGGGGTTTGTTCAGATCATAATTTTCAGGTTACAGTCCATCATTTCAGAGATGTCAACACAGGAACTTGAAGTAGCTGGTAAAGAACAGAAACAGAATGAGCAGCTAGCTCTCTATACTTATGACGTCCAGGACCACTACCCATAATGAACTGGTCTTCCCATCTTAACATAAATCTAGAGAATCCCTGCCATGCAGGTCCTAACACTCGGGAGGCAGAGGCAGGTAGATTTCTGTGAGTTGGAGGTCAGCCTGATCTACAGAGTGAGTTCCAGGACAGCCAGGGCTACATAGAGAGATCCTGTCTCAAAACACCAAACCAAAACAAACAAAGTCAAAACTAAAACAAACAGAAACAACAACAGAGAGAGAATCCCTCCCCCAAGACATCCCACAGGCCAACATGATCTAGACAATCCCTCATTTTGACTCTTCTCATGTAATTTTAGATTGTGCCAAGTTAACAATCAAAGCTATCATGACCCTGTAAGGTGGCTCAATAGGTAAAGGAACCTACTGCCAAGCCTAATCACTTGAGTTTGACCTCCCAAGCTCCACATGGTAGAGATAATCAACTTCTGCAGGTTGTCTTTGCACTTCCACACGTTATGGTACGTGTGAGCGTGCGTGTGTGCGCGCGCACACACACACACACACACACACACACACACACACACACACACACACACACTAAGGATATAACTCATTCCTCATGTATTCTAAGCATATAGTCCAAAGCTGAGCAGCACCCTCAGATGCCTCCATCTCAGACTTCTAGCCTCTAGAACTGAGAAAGAATCCAGTTCTGCTGTCAAAGGTACTAGTGGAAGTTCTTATGGTACCCTAAAATAAGAATATTGCCTTTAGGACTGGCACTCAGAGGTAAAGAGGTAGAATTCTTCAAAGCTAGATTTTTATTTTGTTTACTTTCTTTTTCTTATTACTCATGTGTGTATAATGCAGTGAGGGGTACAGGTGTCACAATGCATGTGTGGACGTGAGAAGACAACTTTAATGAACTCAGTTCTCTCCTTCAAACTTTATGTGAGACCTCGGGACCAAGTTCAGATCTTCAGGCTTGCATTATCTGGCAGCAAGTACCTTTACCTGCTAAGCCTTCTGATTTGCCTGTAACTCCTCAAACTTAGAAAGTAAGGGTGGGGCCAGGCATGATGGAGCATACCTTTATTCCTAGCACTTGGGAGGCAAAAGTAGGCAGATCTCTGTGTGAGTTTAAGGCCAGCCTGGTCTATATAACATATCCCAGGACAGCCAGGGCCACATAGAGAGAATGTATCTTCAAAATAAACAAGAAAAAAACTAAGTGTGGGGCCTACTAGATCTGTAGATGAGGCTGGCCTTGAACTCACAGGGATCTGCCTGCCTCTGCCTCCAAAATGCTGGGATTAAAGGTGTGCACCAGCTATCTCAGTGTCTGAAGTAGTAGTAGTTAAAGCAAGCCTTGTTATGTGCCATGAGCTCATGAAGTATGTATACACTGTTCTGCCTGCATGTCAGCCTGCTATATTCATAATGGTGGAGACATGAACAACTCGTGTTTGCCAATGGTTGAGTAAATTATAGTGTATCCATACAATGGCTGCTGCTCAGCAATACAAAGAAGAGAGAGACAGTAACATGGATGAGCCTCATAGACATGACAAAAAATGAATGATGCATAATTTTATTGGTGAACATGCCAACAATCAGTGAGACCCACCTTCAGCTTAAGGTGGTAGAAAGGGGTCAAGTACTATAGTGAAAGTGGCCCCACAAGATGTTTTTAAATGTTCAATAGTTTGATCAAATGATGGTTGTATGAATGGATATACATGGGTTAAAAACCTCAGGTATATATTTTATTCACTCTAGCCCTCAAAAAGGATGTATTCAGTGGACAGGCATGATGGGACACAGCCATAATGCTAGCACTTAGGAGTTCAGTGTCATCTTCAGATACACAAAATTCAAGACCAATCTAGAGTATTTGAGACCTTGTTTCAGAAGAAACCAAAAAATGTGGTTGGTCAATGGTTGTTCAGGTTATCTGTTCTATATAATCTCTGCAATGGTGACTGGATGTCATTATTGGTCATGCATCATTAGGGTAATGAACCCTAATATCAAGTATGTACTTTAGTTAGCAAGAGAATCTTAATGTGAGCTCATCAACTGTGACAGATGCAAGATGATAGGGAAAATTTTGGAGATCGAGTAAGGGGTAGATAGGCACTCTATATGTTCTGCTCAAGTTTTCTTTTTTCTTTTTTCTTTTTTGGTATTTCGAGACAGGATTTCTCTGTGGTTTTGGAGGCTGTCTTGGAACTGTCTCTGTATACCACGCTGGCCTAGAACTCACAGAGATCCACCTGCCTCTGTCTCCCGAGTGCTACCGTGTGACACCACCACCTGGCTCCACTTTGTTTTTTGTAAAGCTAAAATTGCTCTAAAAGTCACCTGACTGAACATGCACAAGGGTCTGGGTTCCATATCCAGCACTTCAAAAATAAACATGAAACCAGGTGTGATGATGGTGCACACCTTTAATTCCAGCACCCAGGAGTCTGAGGCAGGTGAAACTCTATGGGTTTTAGGCCAGCTAGGGCTACATAGTGAGACTTTGGTTTCAAAACCCCCAAAATGATGATGATAAAATTATAAACATACACACAAAGTGGAAGAGTACCTGCCTAGCAAGTACAAAGTCATAGATCTGATTCGTACCTTGAGGGGCAGGGGAGATATGAGGATAAGGAGATGGTTTAGTCTGTAAAGTGCTTCCTGTAGAAACATGAGAACCTGAATTTGAATCTTCAACACATGTAAAAAATAAAGTCAGACAGTGGTGATACACACCTTTGACTTTTACACACTTTTACCTCGGGGGAGGCAGAGGCAGGCAAATCTCTGAGTTTGAGGTCAGCCTGGTCCACAGAGAAAGTTTTAGGATGGTCAGGGCTGTTACTCAGAGAAATCACATCTTGAAAAACCCTAGTTCAGCTCTCACCAGGCGTCCTCATTAGACTGACATCGTCTTTAAACCCTGCGTGGCAATTCCTGACACACCGCCATGATGCCCAGGGAAGACAGGGTGACCTGGAAGTCCAACTACTTCCAACTTTTGGATGATTACCCAAAATGCTTCATTGTGTGAGTAGACGATGTGGGCTCGAAGCAGATGCAGCAGATCCGCATGTCCCTTCGAGGGAAGGCTGTGGTGCTGCTGATGGGCAAGAACACCATGCATGCATGATGTGCAAGCCATCTGGTGGCACCTGAACAGCCTGGCTCTGGAGAAGCTGCTGCCCCACATCCAGGAGATGTGACTTTGTGTTCACCAAGGAGGACCTCACTGAGTTTAGGGACATGCTGCTGGCCAATAAGGTGCTGGCTGCTGCCCGTGCTGGTGCCACTGCCCCACATGAGGTCACTGTGCCAGCCCAGAAAACTGGTCTGGGGCCTGAGAAGACCTCTTTCTTCCAGGCTTTGGGCATCACCACTAAAATCTTTAGGGGGACCACTGAAATTCTAAGTGATGTGCAGCTGAGAAAAACTGGGAGACAAAGTAGGAGTCAGTGAAGCCACAGTTGAACATCCCCCCCCCTCCTTTGGGCTAATCATCCAGCAGGTGTTTGACAATGGCAGCATTTACAACCTGGAAGCACTTGACATCACAGAGCAGACTCTACACTCTTGCTTCCTACTAGAGGTTGTCCAAAATGTTGCCAGTGTTTGTCTGCAGATTGGTTACCACACTCTTTATCATCAATGGGTACAAGCGGGGCCTGGCTTTGTCTGTGGAGACTGAGTACACCTTCCCACTTGCTGAAAAGGTCCATGCATTCTTGGCTGGTCCATCTGCATTTGCAGCTGCTGCCCCGGCGGCTGCAGCCACCACTGCTGCTTCTGCTGCTGCTGCAGCCCCAGCCAAGGCTGAAGCCAAGGAAGAGTTGGAGGAATCAGACAAGGATATGGGATTTGGTCTCTTTGACTGATCCCTGAGAGCAACCAACTCAGCCAGTTTAATTTGAGAAACATGGAAACAAAAGTTTACTTCTGTTAAAAAAAACAAAACAAAGAAAAACCCTAATTAAAATCTCAGTACCTACATAAAATGCCGATCATGATCACACACTCCTATAACCTTAGCACTGTGCAATTGCTGGGGCTTGCTGGCTGCCAGTCTAGATTCAGTGAGAAACACTGTCTCTCAAGGGAATAAGGGGGAGAGGGGTAGAGCAGAATACCAGATCTCTTTCTCTAGCCTCTGCCTGTGCACATAAGCTCTTGTAATGTCATACACACATTGGTGTACGCCACACACACTAAATAAAATTTTAAGGTGGAGAGTGTTTGAGGAACATTGCTAAAACATCTTGTAGGACCACCCTCCCTATTGAACTTGACCCCTTTCTACCACCTTAAGCTGTAGGTAGGTCTCACTGATTGTTGGCATGTTCACCAATAAAATTATGCATCATTCATTCTTGTCATGTCTATGAGGCTCATCCATGTTACTCTGTCTCTTCTCTTTTTTTCAGGTTTTAAAACTTTATTTGCATATTAAAAATATACATTCCAATAATTAAAATCATTTGAACAAAAAATGGCACCCTGATCAAACTGCATTTTACATCCTGCAGGACACCTTGGACCATCTTGAATTTTTCTCCATATTTCAACACCTCCCACCCAGCTTTTTCTTTCACCAACATGCAAGTTCTTTCCCTCCCTGCCAGCCCGACCGATAGATGGGTGGGAGAGGCAGGGGAGGCCTTCCTGGTCAATAGTTCTGATTCTTTGATGTGAAAGGAGCAGCACAGTCATTTAAACTTGATCCAACCTCCTTGCATCTTACAAAGTTAAACAGCTAAAAGAAGTATAGTAAGAAGGCAATGCTTGTGGAATGTACAGTGCATATTGGCGGCACTCACCTCACTACCATTCGCCAGCTTGCTTCTCCTGTTCAATCGTTTCTTTTGAAGGCATAGGATTTTTCTCTTGCATCTCTGTTTCTTCAATTTCGACTTATCGAATTTCTCAATCTCAGCCATATTGGGTTTGTCAGACATGGTTGCCGGAAAGAGCGAGCGAGGTGCACGAACATGAAGAGTCAGATCTGCTCAGAGGATGTCGCCGATTAGTCTCTTCTCTTCTTTGTATTAATACTTGGTGTAAACCTCAGTCCTCCATACATGTGCATATGTACTTTCACATGCATAAACATGTATGTACACAATAAAAAAGTATCATTTTTTAAAAATAGTCTAGGAGGCGGCCAGACCTAAAAGCTCTCTGAATAGAGATATAGATGTTATCCTGAACATGTGGCTTCTATTTGGTACTCCCTGCAGCTCTTTCTGATCTGACTGTTACATCTGTGTTCTGCTTCTGTAAGCAGCCAGTGACTACTGTCACATTCCCATGCCACAACTCATCTCTGCCTCCCTCCCATTTACCTGGCAAGTACAGAGGTTGAGGAATGTATCTTTAGCTGAGCTGCCTTGTGCCTGAATCAAAATACTATTATTATGGGAGACCAAAAAACAGATTGGGAGTGGCACACAGCAGGCTGATGTTGTTATAGGTAGAGATAGTGACAACAAGGAGAACAGTTGAATTTGAGGGGGTTCTCTATGAATAGGAACCAAGAACTGGGACGCACACAGCATTAGGAGTGAGGGCTTTTAACAATAAATGCTTATAGCAAGCAGGTTTGTCTGCTGACAGGATTGATACAATGGGGACAGCTAAACAAGAGCTACAGAAAAGCAAAGGCAAGACTTAGTAGTAAACCACAGGGTATGGAGTGGGTTGGGTTGGTGGTGAGAACCATAAGGAAGACATTGTGGGGTTTTTGTTGTTTTTTTTGGGGGGGGGAGGGATTCTAGACTGGGTTCTCTGTGTAACAGTCCTGGCTGTCTTGGAACTCACTTTGTAGACCAGACTGGTCTCAAACTCACACAGATGGGAGGACTGCATCAAGGCTGCTTGGGCTATAGAGAAAGGTCCTGTGTCTGGGAGGGAGAGGGAGGGAGGGAGGGCTCTCTGTTGGTACAGGCCTGTGATCCCAGGTACTTGGAAGGGCAAAGTAGAAGAATCACAAGTTCAAGGGAAGCCTTGATTACAAAGTGACCTCAGGGCCAGTCTGGGTTATTTAGTGAGACCTTATATCAAATAAAAAGTGAAAAGATGAATGGGGAGGTAACTCAGTGGCAACGTATTTGTCTAGTGTGGCGGTTTGAAAGAAAATGCCCCCCAAAGGGAGTGGCACTATTACATGTAGCCTTATGGAGAAGTGTTCCACCATGGGGGTGGGCTTTGAGGTCTCTTTCTCAAGCTTCCTGTTGCCTGCAAGATGCAGTACTCTCAGCTCCAGCACCACATCTGCATGCACACTGCCATGCTCCCTTTCATGATGATAATGGACTGAACCTCTGAAACTGTAAGTGAGCCACCTCAATTAAATGCTTTCTTTATAAGAGTTGTCATGGTCATAATGTCTCTTTACAGCAATAATAAGCCCTAACTAAGACATCTATCAAGGCAGCCTTGATTACATAGTGAGTTCTAGGACAGTCTGCACTAAATAAATTCAGTGTGTGGGGGTGAGCTTTATGTTGGCTTTTCAATAGTTCAGGTGGCTGGACACTCCAAGGATGGGATGACTATACATGATACGACATGGTAGTTTTCCTGAACCCTGGGTGCTAAGTGGACACTTCCTGGTGCCTTTATTGGTTGTGTCCTATTGGGTAAGAAAGAGGCTCCCAGATATAAGCCAGGAGATTGCAGCTTTAGGGCTCCAAGACTTCAAGGCCCTCAGCCACATTCTGCCCCTGTGTTTACCTCCTTTAGGCATGGGTGGTCCTAACAATGAGAGTTAAAACTTGATATCAACAGGTCATCAGTAGAAAGGTGGACCTAAGGCCCACAGTATGATAGTAACACCCAAGGGAGCAGATAACAAGGCCTGGCAGTGGGGTGGAATACCCAAACTCTGGGAAGAAATATGGGAAGTGGGATTCGGGCTGTGGGACAGGGCTGAGAACAGACCTCAGGGCATCCTCTGCCCAGGGATGGAGCTTCCACAGCATAGAACAGGTATAGAGTGGTAAGTGCTCACTCAGTAAAATGATGAAAGAGTCTCTTCATTTCCAGGTTTTTATTTGCTTGTTATAATTCTGATATTATGTACACACATATATATATATACTTTTGTTTTTTGTAGAGGGCTCATCAACAGACCAAGCAAAGGTATACAGGGAGTCCTCAGTTGCTGGGCAGGAGCACAGAAGTGCTGGGAGTACCAATCTTTGCTTTTTTTCCATTTTTGTCTGTTTTTATTTTTCCTGGAGTGGGATCACCAAAGCTACTGCTATAAAACAGAGAAACCACCTAGAGACTCAGACATCTGCCTACACACTAGCAGCATATGGGGAAAGGGCAGGGGCACAAACTTTCAAAGTCACGGTGTATTTACATTCCCAATGGGGGGGGAAAGGGCTGAAGACAAGAACTGGGGGCAGGCAGGGCTGCAAAAGGGTTCAGGGGGTATGGTGGCAGCAGGGAGAAGCCCAACCAGTACCAGAAGGAAGAGGTGTGCCTATCTCTGGCAGTGACAGAGGCCATTTTGATGTTGTCTGGTGGGTACCAAAGGCAATGTGTGTGTGTGTGTGTGTGTGTGTGTGTGTGTGTGTGTGTGTGTGTGTGTGTGTGTGTG